TAACATAAACAATTAACACATTTTGTATATGTATTACACATTCTTAAAATAAGCTAGAGAAAAGATGTTATTAAACGATAAGGAAGATAAAATTCATTTATGATACCGTACTGTATTGATATCATAAGTTTACGTGGTCTGTTTGCAAGCTGAATCATCTGAAATGGCAGCAGCTGCCGACTTCTATTTGCTGTATCATATTAATACCAAGCAGTTCAACTTTCTCTTATAATATCGTCACTTTGCTTCTTGGGAGCGCTTCCAGCATCACTAGTGGCATTTGGTACAGGTCCTGTGGTGTTATTCAAGGTTTATGGTGTTGCACTAAACACGAAGAAAAATATCCAGGAACCAGAGAGATCACTCGCTACTGTGATACGCAGTTTACTGGAGAGACAAACTGCTCACACAGACTGGCGTCTTCAGTCTGCAGCACTTGGGCTCACTGCAGTGACAACAGGAGGTGGCTGTGAACTTACTGCAGTAGTATTGTATGTACTGCAGTTAATTTTATATACTTAGGAGTTAATACTGTGTCTTCACATTTGTTTACACTTCTCTTGACTAGGAATGGCACCATGTAGGTGGGTAAGTTTTGATAAATTTTACCTTTTAATAATAGACTTGTATATATTTTATGGTAGTAAATGATAAAAATAGGCCAGGTGCAATGGCTCACACCTGTAATCCCAGCACTTTGGGAGGCTGAGGCAGGAGGATTGAGGCTAGGAGTTAGCCCAGCCTAGGCAGCATAGTGCAACCCCCATCACTGCAAAAATATTTTTAAAAATTATCCAGGCGTGGTGGTACGTACCTATAGTCCCAGCTACTCAGGAGACTGAGGCAGGAGGGTAACTTGAGCCCAGGAATTCAAGGCTGAAGTGAGCTATGATTGTACCACTGCATTCATTCCAGCCTGGGAGACAGAGTAAGACCCGTCTCTTAAAAAAAAAGAAAACAAAAAGTAGACTAGTATCAGCATCTGTTTTGTGCATTCATGACATACCTGAAGTTTTCTTAATTTCTTCAGCATTTCTACGTTATATGGTTCATCTGCAAGTTTTTTCAAATTGTCAAAAATCTCCAAAACATTTCCCAATATATGTATTGAAAAAAAAATCTGTGTATAAGTGGACCCAGGCAGTTCAAACCCATGTTGTTCAAGGGTCAACTTAGAAGTACACATGCACATTTTAGGAGTACATGCCCAGCAAGGTTGGAGCAGCCGGGCTGGAAGAACAGGTTGCCTGCTGGGAGAGCTGCCTCTGACCCTTCACTGCAAGTCGTCCACTCGGCGTGTGTCCTGAGCCCAGTGCTAGGGATCCAGAGAGGGTCACAGACTGGCAGACTTCATACCTGCTGTGGTCATTATAGGTGGTCACCTGTGGCTAGATGTGTGTCTTTAAGGCTGGCAAGTTTGCCCTGAGTCATACTTTCCTGCTGTCACCTGATCCAAAAATGTTTGTGGGTGTGGCCTGCCGATGTCTGATGCCAGTTAAAGCTGGAGCGTCAACACCAAGAACCCCCTGGCTGGGGTGGGGGCTCCTCTCTAGGTGCTGTTAGTTACCAGTGCCCGGGTCCAACGTCAGAGGACACAATACATTTGAAAAAAAATTCAGCCTGACCCAGGCGAGGTTCTAAGTGCTGGGGGCCCGGCAGTGATCCAAACAGATGGTAGAGGAATGGTAAATGAACAAGTAGACGGTATTTCGGATGGTGCTAATTTCTATAGAAAAAGGCCAGGAAGGGGCTAGGAAGTGCAGTTCTAAATAAAGAGGTCAGGGAAGGCCTCCTGGGATGGCCTGAGGGAATGGGAGCAAATTAGGTAGATGATCTGGAGAAAGAGCTTTCCAGACTGAGGGGATAGCAAACAGTCGGAGATGGGAACGTGCCCAGAGGGTTGGAGGAACAGGAAGAGCCAGTGTGGTTGGAAGGAGGTGGGCGAGGGGGCAGTGGCGAGGGCCTGGGAGAGGGCGCGCTACTGCCTGTCTCTTCCACCTGGTCCCTGTAGCCATCCGACCTGGTCCTTGGGGGATGCAAGGGTTTAGGAACCACCACCATCATCTGAAGGATATGGCAGGACCTGCTGATGGTTCAGGAGGGGTCACATGTCCATAACTAAGGACCTGATGTGGGTTTAAACCTTAAAGAGAGTCCTTAGATTGGATGGTGGTACAAGAAGATTGGAAAGGCCGGTGGGCCGATGAAACTGGAATTTGAGATTTGCCTTTTTTTCCCCTAATTATAAGACAGTAGAATCGAAGGTTTCATTTAACAACCACTTCTCACACTCCAGCATGTACACTAGATTACAATAAACCATTCTCTTTAGACATAGGTTCGTAGCTGTCAGTTGATCATTCAGCCAAGATTTTTCCAAGGGACTTTCGGATAGAACTGCCTTATGTTGCAATAAAACTTCACAAACAAACACACACAGACAATACAGGGAATCCCCCAACATAAAATGCCACGGCCGACCAAACAGGAACCACAAAACGAGAACTGAATTCTAATCCCAAGGGGACAAACTCGGAACCAAATTCTCTCAAATGAAAAAACCAACAACTCCCAATCCTCCCTCCCCACCCCGGAACCAGGTACGTACCACCACACCTGGTACCACAAATCCATCGGGGTGTGCGGGGTTCTGAAACACTGCTCCCACCCGCCATGGGTGGAAACAGGGTCTTGGCGTCCCAGGGAACTTTACTTACAAATGGCTGTGGCATCTGGACACTTCCCAAATCCATTTGCTTCCCCTCGACTCAGTTCAGGTTGGTCGGAGCTGTGTCCATTCAGGGAGAAAGAGATGGGACTTCCCGGAGCTAAACAGGCCCGGGCGCTTGCTGGGAGAATCCGTTTCTTACCTGAAAAGGGGATGCTCCTGCCCATGGCTTGACCTGGAGCTGCTCCCTGCCTCCTGCAGCAGTCACAGGTTGCCATTATACCGGAAGCTGATGGGCCCACCCAGGGACACCAAATCTGTTCCTGAAAGTTTGGCACTTGTCCCTGAGACTGCATTGGAAGAACAAGGACAAGTGGTTTGAGGAGAAGGAAAGAGGAGTTTATTAATTTGCTGGCAAATGAGGAGGTTGGCAGACTCCTGTCTCAAAGTACCAACGTCCTTTTTTTTTTTGGCAACAGGAAATCATTAAATTCTTGAGCAGAGAAGTGCCGTGACAAACAGTACAAGAGATTAGGCTTTTGGGAAACTTAATCTGGTAGGACTCAAAAAATCATTTAGAGCAGAGCATGAAGGTGGAGGCGGGAGACGCAGGATGGCGGGCAAGGACTAGGCTAGGTTGTGCCCAGGAAAGGGAAGTGGCGCACTCAGAGGCAGCTCGGGGAAGACTGGCAGAGGCAGATTTGGAGTTGAATCCATGAAGCAGGCACAGGACCATGTGGTAAGAATTGGAGGGGTAGGGGCCGGGCATGGTGGCCGACGCCTGTAATCCCAGCACTCTGGGAGGCCAAGGCGGGAGGATTACTTTAGGCCAGAAGTTCAAGACCAGCCTGAGCAAGAGCCAGACCCCGTCTCTACTAAAAAAAAAAAAAAAAATAGAAAAAGTAAAAAAAAAAAGAATTGGAGGGGCAGGATGTGCTCTGCCTCAGACCTGGGGAGGTGGGTAGAGGCGAGGGTCCAGGGCCTGCGGTGAGGCTACTGGTGTCCGAGGATCACCACAAGGCACTTGGGGCCCGTGTGGATTGCAGAAGCAATCCTCCAACTGGATCTTTAGGGGGTTACTTTTTAAGTACATGTTTGTGGAAAGTAACAGAAATGTTGCTTCATTTCCTCCTTCATCAGGGTAACAAATCTTTATGCATTTGAAGAGCAGGAAGTCCCCAAACAGTCTGAATTCAAGCAAAAGCTGCTTATTCAGGATGGGAACCAAAAATACTCTCTTGTACCGCAAACGGGAGCGATGCCTTCTCATTAAGACATATTTCAGTATTTGGTTTTATTTTTGAGGTCTCTTAAAAGTCGGGCATCCCACTAGGTGAAAACACCACAGATCTGGGGAAGTTCCTTTCCAGACCACAAACCTTTGTGACAATCAGGGGCAATCAGATCAGACTGACCAATGTTCAGTGCACGTAGATCTGGAGTAGCAGCAAGTGTGGGGAGCTCTCCGCTCATGCTTGCGGAATCTCGCCACAGTGTGCGACAGGCGTGTTCCTCATTGAAAGTTGATTCTTGTTTTGCCCCAGTTATAACTCATTTGTTATTCACATGCTAGGCACTGATCTAAGAGCTCAAAGTTCCAGCCTGAGAGAGCATAGACCTTAGGAAGTGTGGCCATGCTGGCGGGGGCTCCCTCAAGGCCTGCTTCTCCTTGGCCCCCAAACAGTGTCCCCCCAGCTGGAGGCGGAGCGGCTGAAGCACCCCTGATCCCATGGAGGCCTCTGAGGGCTGCCCCGCTGCCTCCTTGTCTTCCCTGGGCTGGAGGTAGGGGCTAGCCCCCCTTCCCCCACAACCTTCTGCCCATCCCAGTTAATAGCCTCAGTGTCCCAAGAGTCGGTTTCCCTGTCCCCATAAAAGACCTCAGAGTATCAGACTGGTGGCGGGTCCCAGAAGTTGTGGGACACTCCCTGGGCTCCAATCCTGGGGATGTTTGTTCTCTGGGCAGAGGGTGAGAAAGGAAAGAAAGATGTCGCAATCCACTTCATCCACTTTAGATGCGTCATCTGAAAATGGGGAGGGAAAGGGGCAAAGGACGGACACCCTGACAGGCCTGCCAGCTCTGTCAGGGCTGACTCAGGCCCTCAGCTGAACTCTCCACCTGCTGGCGTAGCCGAGAGGGGGCAGCCCAGCCCACGTGCCCGGCCTCCCGCCCTTCACTTCACTTGATAAACCAGAAACTGAAACGGAGCGGGGATGCCGCTTGGAGGCGGAGATGACTCACTGCCGAGAGTGACTGGTGACTGCTGGAGCTGAGCAGGGCAGCAGAGAGGCAGAGGGAAGCTGAGGGCACGGAGGCCAGCAGGTGAGAGCTGGGACAAGCGGCAGGGCGGCAAAGGGAGGGGCCCTCCTGGTCCCCAGGAGGCAGGGCAGGACCAGGGGCCCTGGGACCTGTGGGCAGGGGAAGCCAGGTGGGCTGGCAAGAGGCCAGCTTCCTCTGCGGCCAGGTGGTGCTGTAGTTAAAGGGCAGGGTGGAGGGCGCAGGATGGCTGGGAGTGGCCAAGGACATCTGGAGGCTTGGTTTGCCCAAGTGTGAGGTCTCCCATGCCCCTCTCTCCAGCATCTGAGGGTCCCTGAGGAGCATGGCTGGCAATCACGAGGCCGTGGCCATGGACTGTGAGATGGTGGGGCTGGGGCCCCTCCAGGAGAGCGGCCTGGCTCGTTGCAGCATCGTGAACTTCTACGGTGAAGTGCTCTACGACAAGTTCATCCGGCCCGAGGGGGACATCACGGATTACAGAACCGCGGTCAGCGGGGTCACCCCTCAGCACATGGCGGGGGCCACACCATTCACTGTGGCCAGGCAAGAGGTGAGTGAAGGGCCGTGTGCCAGCCAGGCCAAGGCTGCTGCAGAAAACCCCTTCTACTTCCCGGCGCCTTCCCCCAGTGTCTACCTGTGACCGGTGACCTAACCTCGTGAGAGTCCCCACACTGCTTTGCCGCTTTGGGGAGAAACCCCTGGGGGTCTCCATCACTTCCCTAAGGCTTCCACCGGCAGAGAACTGTAGGCTCACATCTGGGAGTCACGCTCAGGGTATCTGCTCCAACTTGCTGGTCTTGCAATGGGGAAGCTGAGTCCCACCTGATGTTGCCGCATAGTGACTTGGGTCTACATCGCCTGTTCTTTTCTGTACTCTAGGCTGCCCCTGGCGAGCACTGTGGGGAAGCAGCCCTCTCCAGGTCTAACTTTCTGTTTCTCTAAATCACTAAATGGAAAGCAAAACTTAAAAGTGACACCAGGTTTAGTCACTTCTGGGAAGTCTCAGGAGGGCCAGCAAACTCATCAGTTTCTAGGCTAATGGGGTTGGGGAAGTCCAGGAAGAACACAGGTTCCTCTCAGCTGCACACATGCAATGCGTGCCAGGCTCCAGGTGCTGGAGATAAAATCACAACAATAGCTACTATTTACTGAGCTCTGGCTCCGCCCCGGACGCCGTCCTCTCCTAAGCATTGGCGCCTCGGAGCTGCCAGGTGGGTTCTCAGGAGCTGTTAACTCAGAGTTAAGAGGGCTGGTTTGAATCCCGGCTCCATGACTTAGCAGCTGAGTTACCTTAGGCAAGTTACTCCACCTCTCTACCCAGTACCCAGTTTCCCCATCCATAAAAGAAAACGGGGATAGTAGTGGTAGCAACTTCACAGGGTTATTGTAGGATTGAGAGAGTGCCTAAATAAGTACTCAAAAAATGTTAGCTATGTGTACCTTATTATCCCCGTATTACAGATGAGGAAACTGAGGCTTGCTTGAACTAAGTGTATTGGTTTCTTAGGGCTGCCATACCAAAGCACCACAAACTGGGTGACCTAAACAACAGGTATTTATTGTCTCACAGGTCTGGAAACGAGAAGTCTGAAATACAGGTGTTGGCAGGGGTAGTTCCCTCTGAGGGCTCCATGCCTCTTCCCAGCTTGTGGGGGTTGTTCGCAATCTTTGGGGTCCTTGGCTTGTGGATGCATCACCCTGATCTCCGCTCTCAAGTTCCCATGGTGTTCTCCCTGTGTGTGTCTCTATCCAAACTTCCTCTTTTTAAAAGGACACCAGTCACATAGGATTAGGAGCCCACCCTGCTCCAGTGTGACCTCATCCAGCTAAACTAATTATATCTGCAGCGACCCCATTTCCAAATGTCACATTCTGGGGTACTGGGGGTTAGCCTTTTAACATATGAACTTGGCAGGAGGCGAGGGGCACATTTCAACCCCTAACCCTGAGTAGCTTGCACAGTGCAGAGAGCAGGCGTGCGCAGGGGCTGCTCAGAGCCTCTAGAGCTGGGCCGTGCAGCAGGGCCACTGCTAGCCACGTGCTGCTAGTGGGCACCTGGCGCATGGCTGGTCTGAACTGAGATGTGCTGTTAAGTGTAAAATCCACACTGGATTTGGTGACCTGTATTTTAACAGGAACCATAAAATACCTCAATAATTTTTTATATTGATTACACGTTGAAATGATAATATTTTAGTTACATTAGGTTAAATAAAACATTAAAATTAATTTCACCTGCTTCTTTTTACCTTTTTAAATATGGCTATTGGGTGATTTAGAATTATATTTGTGGCTCCCTCACATTCTATTTCTATTGGACAGTGCCATTCTAGAAGTACAGGTTGAGGACCACTTATCTGAAAGTGGACCAGAAGTGTTTTGAATTTTGGATTTGTTCAGATTTTGGAATATTTACATTATACTTACTGGTCGAGCATCCCAAATCTGAAAATCCAAAACTGGAAATGCTCCAATGAGCATTTCCTTTGAGTATCATGTCGGCACTCAAAACATTTCAGATTTTAGAGCATTTCCGATTTTGGATTTTTGGATTTGGAATGCTCAACATGTATTAAAAATATACTGGGAAAACTTAAGGAGGGGCACAGTACATCATGGTGGTTCTGGAAAGACTCCATGCGGCTGGTGGTATTTGAAAGGAGTGGGGAGAGGCTGTGTAGGCAATTAAGCAGGCCACAGGGAGCCGCCGAAAATTCTTGAGCAAGGGCACGGCAGGATAAAAACCAGTTTCAAGAAAGCTAGAATGGGGGTACTGCAGAGGAAAGAGAGGGGTGAGAAAAAAGATGCCAATAGGGAGAAGAGTCAGAGGCCCCAGGCAACAGTAAAGGGCCCGAGTGGTCTGCCACCAGCAGAGGATTGGAAAGAAGAAAATCTTAGGAAGGAAGAGACCTAAGAAGAGTCACCAAGAAGGGGAGGGCAACATAAAGAAGAGGTGAAGAGGCGGGGGTCCGTTCAGGTGCTGAGGGGAGGCCCAGGGACAGGGGAGGCCTAGGCCCACCGTCAGATCCCCACCAAGCAGTCAGGGTGGACAGTATTGACACAGGAAAGTGACTCCTGATGTTGGGAGCCAGAAGTTCAAGTGGGTCCTTGGCTTTGTGAAAGAAAGAATTAGGAGCGAGCCAATGGTATAAAGTGAAAGGGAGATTTATCCGGCAACTACAGAAAGTCTACTCCACAGACAGACAGAGGCAGGTTCTCCCTGCAGAAGAGAACCAGCCTCCTGGTTTCTGTGGCCTTTCTATTTAAGCTATGGCTTAATTAACAAGGGGAGGAATATTCATGAAGGGGCGGTGTTTTCTTGGAATCCGGGTATCACCCTCTATTGCTCTACTATCTTGGCTCTAACCGATTGAAACTTGCCCTGCCGCCATCCTGTTTTGATCAGGGCAATTTGAAACTTTGTTTCGAGACTTCCTGACTCGGGCAATGCTGCCACAATGCTCAGTGCAATGCCCAAAAGCAATGCCAAAAGCAGTACCCAAAGCACTACCTGCCAGTTCCTGTCTCAGTAGGTCCCTAGCTTTCCTCCTTGTTCTCAGCTCCGACCCCATCAGAAAGAGGGAAGGGTGTAGAAGAGCCCAGAGCAGGGGAGGAGGAGGCGGTAGAGAATCACTTCTCTCGCGGCTGGACATCCAGGCCCGGGAAGCTGCAACTCTCTGGACACGCTCGAGTGCCGGCCTGGCCTGGGAGCCGGAACCCCTGGTCTTCATGCAGACTTGGTGCGGAACAGCTTTTGTTTCTGAGGTTCCGCCAAGCCCAGCGCCTCAAGTGCGTGACATTAAGGCCCCGGCAAGGTGGGCACTTGGTAGCCACTGAGGGAACGAGGGAGGCGTCTGAAGACCAGGCAAGTCTGGGAAGCACATCCGGGTTCCCCGGCTCCTGCTCCATCGCCTCCTACTGGTTTGTGTGGCCTTCAGGAAGTTACGGAAACTTTCTGAGGCTCAGTTTCCTCATCGTAAAAGGAGAGTGGTAACGCCTCCTCCCTGGTCTCCAGTGGGTTGGATGCCGTGACATGGGCTGTGGCCCTGAGCGCAGCGCCTGGTTCACAGCTGATGTTCAGTAACTGTGCCCGCCGGGAAGGGAAGGGCAGAAACCTGGAGTACACATCGCAGTCCCCTCTCCGACTCCCCTTGAGCACTGCTGCGATTTTGAGGCCGGCCTCATTTTCTGCCTGCTGCACCTGGTACGCTTGCTGCCAATCTCTCCCACCCTGCTGCCAGGGAGACTTCCCCAAGCCTGGCTCAGGTTGTAGCCCCCCTGCCCCCTTCAAACACCACCCGTGGCTCCCCACTGCCTAAGGACCCCATCCCAGCAGCCAGGCTCTCCAAACCACTGTCTACCTACCTGCCTTTCCTGCCTTCTGTCATAGCTCAGCCACTGCCGCCCCGTGCTCCAGCCAAACCCTACTCTCCTGGGTCCCCCATCCCTGCCCCTAGAAAGGCCGCCGTTCCGGGAGCCCCGGGCCAGAGGAGTCCTCTACGGTGCCCCTGCCCCACCACACCCGGCTCTCTGGCCCTCCCCGCTGTTGCCCACGCCCTCCCAGCTTGTCGGTCCACACACGGTCTGCCCGGTTCACAGCTCCCGCCGTAGCTTTACCTGCCCCCAGACTGGAGGCTGTCCTTTGCACACAGAAGGTGATCTGAGAATGTTTGTGGGATTGAAGTTGAACTGATTTCATAAAAGAGTTCAGGCAGCTGCGTGGGGTAAAATTGCCTCTGCCCCTGTGCTGGCCTTTGCCATGGCGATGCGATACCCACACAGCCCTGGGGCGGGCAGCAAGCACACTGCCCTGAGACTCGGCCAATCCCAGCTTTGCCACCTGAATGCTCTGTGTCCTCTGGCTTGTTTCTCAACCTCTCTGTGCTCCCCTCAGTAGGATCCTCTGTAACACAGGGCTGATAAAATAGCGCAGGAGTATCCACATCCGGCATGGTGTCCCACCGCCTTTACTCCCCGTCACAGCCCTGGGAGGTAGTGAACTGGACCAGCACTTCCATTTCACAGGGGAGGAAACCGAGGAGCAAGGCCGAGTGAACTGCCCGAGGCAAGGGGGAGCAGAGACCCAGATTCCGAGGTACGAGGCCGAGTGAACTGCCCAAGGCAAGGGGGAGCAGAGACCCAGATGCTGGCTGCAGAGCTGGAGTTGTGAGGTGCAGACCCTGTGCTCAGTGTGTGTAAATGCCACACGTCCAGTACGTGCGAGGGGCGGTGGCATGGCCTGTGCGTGAAGCTGTGGTACCAGCTAACGGCCATCACTTGTTTCCATGAACAAGGACACTGTGGGTCAAGTTGCCTGAGGCCCCCGAGGTGGCTCGATCCCACTTCATCATCCGCGGTGTTTTACTATAATCCCCAAGAGAGAGCAGGCTCACGGGCCCAAAATGTGCTGGGGGCCCCCGAAGGGCAGAAAGCTCCCAGCCCTTTCTGAGGCTCCACAGCGCCAGGTGACACTCACAGGTGAGTCCAGGGCTTGCCAGGCCTTGCTTTCATGCAGGTGTTTTCAAAGCCCCTCACCTCCCTGTCGCCCCCTCCCCAGGGGAGCCGCGGGCAGTCACCAGGCCAAGGCAGCGGGGAAGGCCGGGGGCAGTCGCTGAGCCCCCTGAGTCCACCGGCGAGTGCTGGTGCTGTAGGGCACTGGGACGGAGTGGGCCCACCCCCTTTCTCTCTTGTTTATTTTTTATAACGTGATGACATTACTTTTAGGACATAAACTAATTGCCTCGTACGTTCTGACACCTCTGTGTCTGACCAATATCTAAAGCAATGGTTCTCAGCGTGGTGGGATTTTGCTCCTCTTGGCACATTTAGCAGCATCAGGAGACATTCGTGTTTGTCACAGCGTGGGGACTGTGGTGCTGCCGGCATCTAGTGGCGAGGGCCTGGACTGGTGAGGCCTGAGGGGCCCATTAGCAGCCAGGGCTCCACCAACTTTCCCAGGCAGGGCTGGGGGGGACGCAGTGGGGAACCCTGGGGCCCAGGAGGGTGGAGAAGCAGCAGCAGGCCGGGCCTCAGGGCTGTGCGACCTGCCGGCCACCTGACCTGCCCTGAGTCAGTGTCACGAGGCAGGTGTGTCAGACTTTGCCACTGTCAAACACGGGGGCGGAGACTCTCAGATTCCTGGAAAGACCGGGGCAGGCTGGGGGGAGGACACACCTGCCTCCTCTTAGCAGCCCGGCCGGCGCCCTGCGGGTACTTTCCTGACCTCCTCACGAGGCTCCTCAGCAAGGATGTCCCTAGTTCCATTTCACAGAGGAGGCAGCCGAGGATCAGGGAGGTGAGGGCTCACCCGGGTCACACAGCTGGTGAGTTGAAAGCTGCCGTGCAGTGCCTGGTTTCACCTGACCTTGTCATTGTTATGACAGTCGTCATTATTGCCACCCACTGAGAACCGAGGGACAGAGAGCACTCCCGGTCCACGATGGCACTCAGTGAGGAGTTCCAGAACCCACTAGAGACCCGGAGCAGAGACCCAGATGCTGGCTGCAGAGCTGGAGTTGTGAGCTGCAGACCCTTGCAAATGGGAAACCTGAGGCCCAGAGAGGGCCTTTGGCGTTCCTGAGGACACACAGCAAGTCCCAGCGGGCTTTCCCTGTCCAGTGCCCGCACCTTTGTCCTGAAGAGCTGTTGGCCTCCCTCTAGGTAGACTGCTCTCTTCTCTCCTTTCCTCCTCTTCCTCCCTCTGCTTGTCTTCCCCCTCTTATTTTATTTGTCCTCTCATGAGTCCTGAGTGCCCAATGTAGCTCCCCTCCCCCGCCACCAGGGACTGTCGGGCTCAGGAAGTGAGGAAAGTCCCAGGAATCCACATGACAATGACTTGGCCCTCTCACATCTGGGAGCAGCCGTGGCTGCCTGTGGGACTGCAGACAGCTCCTTCAGGGCCTTGTGCGAACCCGGCCCGGGCGGAACTCCAGACAGGAAAACAGGCACATGGTCGAGAAGCACAGGGATGTTAGCGAGAACAGGCACGTGACCCGCAGCCCCCCAGCAGGGCCGCATCTGCCCCCCGCCCCGTGCCCTTTCTCCCCACGCTGCGCGCTGAGCCGGCACCGCGCGTTTCCTCCACACAGAGGGCTCCCCGCCGCCGCTCTGAGGGCGTGTGCCTGCGTCGTCATCTCTTAAAGCCTCCCTGTGACGCCCAGGCCAGCACGTTGCATCGCCTGTTAGAAATGCAGAGTCCCGGGCCCCGCCCCAGACCTGAAGCCGCAGCCGTGTTACCGGCACTCCCCAGGTGGCTGGCAAGCGCGTGCAGGCTTGAGAGGCGCTGGCGCAGGTCAGGAGCCACACGCTCCGGCACGCTCTCCCCCACCCCTGTGTTGAGTGCAGGCTCTGTCCAGAGAAGGCCTCCAGCCAAACCACGTGCACGGCAGAATAGCTCGGTGCACAGACCCTGCTCCCAACACCGTGACCCTGGACAAGTCACCGCACCTCTCTGAGCCTTGGTTTCCTGTGGTCACGAGACAAGAATGTGTAAACGGACCACATGATGTCCCAGGAGGCCACTAGCCGTCTAGAAGGAGAAGCAGGCTGTGGGGAGGGTGTGAGTCATCCGGAAAGCTCCGTCCCAGGTCTCAGATGAAGGTCAGGGGCCACATAAAGAGAAAGAGATGAAGGCGTCAGAGAGTTGTCCCAAGTGGGCCCGACACAGCCACGAGCGGCACCTTCAGCCCGGGCCTGGCGCGGCTCGCCCCGGCTCTGTGTTCAGGTCCCCTTCCCATCCTCGGCAACACGGCCGGGCACAAGAAAGCTGCCTGGCCCATGTGGCCGCAGCGTGGGAGGCTGCGCGTGTGCAAGGGGAGGTGGGAGGCGACGCCGGGCTGCGGGCACTCTCGGGCTTGTCCCCCTGTAGCTCGGCTGCTGGGCTGCTGGAGGCCTGGAGTGGCCTGCTCTGCCAGCTCAGTGTGGTGGCGATGAGCAGGCCCTGGAGCCAGCCTGCTCGCTGCGTGACTGCCCCAGTCATCTAACGGTGTCCCGCAAATCACCCCAAAACCTAATGGTTAAGACAATGTCAATATTTTGCTCATGTACCTGCAATTTGGGCAGGAGCTTGGCGGGTGGGGACAGCTCGTCAGCGGAGGCATCTTGAAGGCTGGGGGCTCGACTTGTCGGAAGGTCCCTCACTCGTGGGGCTGCTGCTGGCGTTCCTCGGGCACGTCTCTGTCTCTGTGTGGCCTCTCCTCCTGGTCTCTTCAGCATGGTGGCTTCGGGGTGGCTGGACTTCTTACATGTCAGCTCAAGGCTCCCAGAATTCTGATCCCAGAGAGAAGCCAGAGGTCACGAGAGCTGGCCCATATGCGAGGGGAGGGGAATTAGATTCCGTCTCTTTTGAGAAGAGTGTCAAGGAATTTGCACGCTTGTTTAAAGTTATCAGAGTGACCTTGGGCACATTACTTCACTTCTCTGGGCTTCGGATTTTTCCATTTGTAAAATTCAGTTAAATGCAGCCCCCCCTCATAGCTGTATTGGTTTGTTTTTGTTTTGTTTTCTGAGACAGGGTCTTGCCACAGCTAGAGTGCCGTGGCATCATCACAGCTCACTGCAACCTCAAACTCCTGAGCTCAAGCAATCCTCCTGCCTCAGCCTCCCGAGTAGCTGGGACTACAGGCGCCATGATGCCAGGCTAATTTTTCTATTTTTAGTAGAGTTGGGGTCTTGCTCTTGCTGAGGCTGGTCTTGAAATCTTGGCCTCAAGTCATCCTCCTGCCTCGGCCTCCCAAAGTGCTGGGATTACAGGCATGAGCCACCGTGCCCGGCCATGTGTTAGTTTTCTATGGCTGCTACAACAAAGCCATCAACTCAGTGGTAAAACAATAGAAATACATTATCTTACACTTCTGCAGTTTAGAAGTCCAGCATAGGTCTCACTGGGCTACAGTCAGGGTGTCAGCAGGGCTGGGTCCCTTCTGGAGGGTCTGGGGGCGTCCACTCTCTTACCCTTTCCAGCCTCCAGAGGCGGCAGCCTGGATACCTTGGCTCTTGGCCCCTTCCTCCGCCTTCAAAGCCAGCTACGGCGTGTCCAGACCTTCGCTCATGGAATCACTCTGCCCTCCACAAACAAGGACCCTTGAGATTATATCATGCCCACCCGAATAATCCAGGAAATCTCCCTATTTTAAGGTCCTCTGATTAGCGATCTAAATTCCACCTGCAACTTTAATTCCCCTTTGCCGTGTGACATATTCACAGGTCCTGGACATTAGGGCATAGACATCTTTGGGAGGTCATTATTCTGCCTGTCACAGTAGAGCTGTTGAGAAGATTAAACAACATAATATATATAACATACTTTGATGCATGCTTGGCACGTGGGAAGTGTTCAGTACGTACTAGCCACTGCTACTACACATCCGGGCCGTAGGCACAGACTGACACTATCATGAGAAGGGACATGGTCCAATCTCCTCTTTTCATAGATGATATGACTGAAGCCCAGAGAGGGATGATAATTTGCCCAAGGTCACACAGCAAGTCGAGGAGGGGCTGCTCCATGCCAACCCCATGACTGTACTAAGTTGCCCCAGACCCACCCAGAGGACCCTGGGTGATACGGAGCGGGGTGCCCATGTCTTCCTGGCCAGATCCTGCAGCTCCTGAAGGGCAAGCTGGTGGTGGGTCATGACCTGAAGCATGACTTCAGGGCGCTAAAAGAGGACATGAGTGGCTATGCCATCTACGACACGTCTACCGACAGGCTGCTGCGGGACGAGGCCAGACTGAACTACTGCAGGCGCGTCTCCCTGAAGTTGCTGAGCAAGCGCCTCCTGCGCAGGAACATCCAGGTGAGGGCCTCCTCCTCCTCCTCCTCCCAGGAGGGAGCACACCATGCGGCGGTCCGCCTGACGCACTGCTCCTGGGTCCTGCCGCTGGGGCCGGGCGCTCCACCCAGGACTCTAAAAACCCACGGTGGCTCCAGTGCAAATAGTTGGTTCAAAGACTCTATTCCCTCTACTTCTGAGAGGCCGTGTGCTTGAGAGAGGGAGGGTGTGTTTGTTTGGGCTATCCCCGGATTGCAAGCAGTTTATCTGAGAGGTGACCCCAGGAAGTGCTGTGGAGTGAGGATGGGGACAGGAAGGGAAAACACCCAGTTAAGGTTTGTTTTGCTGTTGACATCAAGCCAATCACCCTGTAAATAATGAAGCTTAGTCCTGCTGCAGAACTCTGGGAAACGGAGTAAAGCACGCACCTCCCTTGGATCCCGGGGTCTCTGTACCTGCTTCTGGCAGCCACCGGCTGACGCCGCTCCCGGGGCGAAGCAGCTCCAGCAAAGTCACCAGGGAGGGCCTGTGCGTGTAGGGGACGTAAGCACCTGCTCCGTGTCAGACTGGGCCAGGTGCTGGGGACACGGTGGTGAGCAGGACTTGTCCTTGTCCTTGAGGAACTCTTGGTTGGGTGGGAGGTGGCCCAGAACCAGACCATTAGCGCACGTGGTGGGGAGTGCCCGGCGGAGGGACGGGCAGTGGCCTTGCCCTGGGAGCAGGGAGGAAGGGGCAGTGCTGGCAGGCAGGAGGCCAGATCTGAACAGAGTCGGAAGGTGAGTCTTAGCCAAGCACAGGGGGACAGGGTGGGGATCGTGTGGCTGGGAGAGGGGCTCGGGACCATGGAGCCCGCCCCTCGCCAGCAGGAACCATGTGTGGCGCAGGGACAGGCCTGAGTCTGGGCCTGTCTGTTAGCCACCAGGCACACAGGGACCAGGATGGGCTTTCCCTGGAGCCCTTGTCACTCTGTGGCTATCAGTCCCGGGCCTTGAGCCTGACATAGGCCCCTCCTCGGGCTGTGTCCCTGTGTGTCCCTGGGCTCCCTAAGCCTGGTTGTTCCAGGGGCACAGCGCCCACCCACCAGCTCCCACCGGCACTGATGCTCCTAGAAGCCAGTGCCCAAGCACCCCCCAGTGTGGACAGTGGTGCGGCTGATCACCTGTGCCCCCCAGGACACAAGGAGCTGACGTGGGGGGATCGTCACAGAGGGGCAGTGGTGTTACCTCCCTTCAAGGGAATGAATGGCAGTCCTGTGGGTTCTCCATCCCAAGCTGCTGGCACAGGGGACTGGGCCACATGGGAAAGGAAAGGCCCTCCCAGGTATCAGGCGTCTGGGAGGGTGCCGGGCATTTGGCATCTCTCATTGCATGCTCTGGGGCAGATGTGCTCAGGCCCACTTTACAGAAGAGGAAACAGAGGCCCAGAGATGGAAAGTGGCTTGCCCAGGGTCACAGAGCTCGTAAGCAGGGGAGCTGGAATTCGAACCTGGTTGTCTGATTCCAAATCCAGGGCCCTCCACCTCCCCACGCTGGTGAGCAGAGGACGCTCGTGGCATCTTCTGCTCTGTCCTTGGCTTCCTTCCCCACAGAGCTGAGTGGTAGAGCTTGTGACCTCTGTGCCTTAGTTTCCTCATCTGTCAGTCAAGGGGAGTGGTGGGGCACAGTGCCCGGGGCCACCGTGCTACCCACCTGCTTATTAACAACACGAGTAAAGCCTCCCTGAGCTGGGCCACATCACCAGGTATCCCCAGCACCCGGTCTGGAGGGTCAGGGAAAGGAGACTTGTGGGGGAAGGGAGGCCTCTCTCGACACAGGAACGACAGAAAACATGGCTGGGACAACGGCCCACTGACCCCATGCTGGGTCCTGGCCAGGACACCGGGGCCAGGCAGGGGATATGAAGGTGCCAGCCGTGGGAATTTGCCTGGCGTGGAGGGCTCCGTGGGGTGTAAATCCCAGCTCCAGAACTTGCCGGCTTGCGTGTGAGCCTCAGTGTCACCATCAGTAAAATGGGGGAATAGTCATACCCAGCTCGGAGGTTTAACGCAATGTGAGCCTAGTGCTTGGCATAGAAGGAGGCAGCAAATGGCAGTCGCTTCTCCTTTGAGTGGACTGAGTGGCCCCTGACTCCCATCACCACTCCCATAAAGTCTAGACCCCCCCACAGTATTCAAGGGCTCCGCTGATGGGTCCCAGCCCACCACCCCCTCCCAACCCCGTCTCTCAGGCTCCTCCTCCCCGAGCTCTTATTCTAGCTGACACGCACTCCCGTGTTCCACACGGCTTGTGGCATTCGGTCTCCACTTACCGACATCCCTGCCTTCTCCAAGCAGCCTCTCCCCACGGCCCTAGCTGGACGTCCTCACTCCCTCCTCCGCTGACCGGAGCTCCTCGCTAGCGCTCCCCCCACCAGACTGCGGGCACCTCGAGGGCTCAGCCTGGGGCTCCAGATGCTGGATTTTGTGCCCGGGCTTGGTGCCTCTGGCCCTGGGGCTGAGGGGCGAAACCAAGCCAGCAGCAGCCACCTACTGAGTTTTCCAAGCCCAGGGTGTCAGAGGCCTGAGCGAGACTCACCCACGGACCCACCTCGGGCCCCTAGAAATCAGGGGGGAACAAGGGGAACCCCGGGGAACGGGCCCCCGGAATCCGCCCCGCCCCAAGTCCCCCGTGCCTGTGCCCGCAGAACAGCCGGCTGGGACACAGCTCCGTGGAAGACGCGAGGGCGACGATGGAGCTCTACCGCCTCTCCCAGCGAATTCGGATTCGGCATCAGACCGAGGCGCGATCCGGCCCCTTCCCCAGGGACTAGCGGTTTCATCTCTTCAGGACAGCAACTCCTTTGTTTTGGAAAATGTATCTTTCATAGTAAAAATGCTCTATATTTTCTCTACTCCATCACTGGATTTTCTTTTTATCTTTTCCCTCCTCTCGGAGCCGGGTTAGCGGTGGACGGGACCCCGCGGCGTGACGCCGGCAGGCAAGGAAGACCTAGGCCGGGGGGCTGGGCAGTGTCCACTTCCTTCACACCTTGAGTCCTGGGGCTCCAGGATTGAGTTTGGTGTCATTAATAACCTCCCCCTGCCTCCCTGCCCTGTCGCGCTTAGCCCAGAGGGGCGGCGTTATTTCCCGCGTGCGCCCTGCTCCGGGACCCACCATCTCCCCTCGAGATTGGCGCTGCAGCGCTTGTGAGCTTCAAGTATCAGCACAGGAACTGCGACAGGTGCCACCCCTGGGGACCTTGAGCAAGTCACCCCTCCTCCTATTTGTAAAATGAGGAAGCAAAGGTAGTAAACCCTGGAGTCAGAGAGAACTAGGTCGGAATCCTGGCTTTCCCGTTTAGTAGCCGTGTAGCCGGGGGCAAGTCCGTAACCTCTCGGTTTCTCCGGCTGTGAAATGGGGAAGAACCATAACGACGTGTGGGGCACTTGTGAGATGTTGCATGCGGAGCCCCGGCACCGTGCCTGTCCTACGCACGCACCCAGCAAGTGTCAATAACCGTTATTCCCTGGACCGCCTGCAGATCTAGAGGACCCCAGGGAGGGCCGCTGCACGCTGCTCCGGGGGCTCGGCTCACCGAGGGGAGGGCGGAGTGTGTTCCTGCTCCTTAGAAGCGACTGCAGAGTCGTCATTTGAACCCATGCCTGGGTCCCACCTCAGATCCACTAGAGGAGAATCACTAGGGTGGGGCCGGCGTCTGTTCATTTCTTAACCTCCAGGGGGTGATTCTGATCCTAGGACATGCGAATCACCTGAGGTGCTTTCTAAGCAATCCCAGCGTCTGAGCACAGCGCTGTCACCCCACAGCGAACATCAGCGTCACCCCGAGTTTCTGGTTTGGAGGGTCTGGGGGGCGCTTGAGAACGTGCCTTTCTAACAAGTTCCCGGTAGACGCGGATGCTGCTGGTCCGGGGACCGCACTTTGAGAGGCACTGCCTAAGCATCAGGGGATTGCAATGTGCAGCCACAGTGGCGCGCCGGCCACAGGCGGAGCGCCCCGGCGTGGACTGGGTCACAGGTCCAGCGTGTCCCCCTGCTGTCTGCCTTGGCTGCCTGCTCGTGCAGAGGGAGCTCTGGAGCCCTGGAAGGTGGGTGCCAAACAGGCCTACTGCACAGATGAGGGACTCGAGCCAAGGCTAGGAACCCACGGGATCCAGGTCCAGATCTGCCTGACCCCAAACTCAAGTCGTTTTTCCTCAGCTGCTTTATTTACAATGGCAATGCCTCCCACCTGCGCCTCTGGCCTCTGGGAACCAGGCGGGCTCCCTCTCACATCTGGAAGGCTGAGGAGGCACAGCTTGCTCTCTCAGGGTTCTCTCCTGCTCTGTCCCCGAGTTTCAGGGTTCTGACCCAGCCCTCTGCTGTTCGATGGTTTCCTAAAAACTCTCAAAGCTGCTGGATGCGTCGGCCTCGTCTGGCTGTGGCTGGCCACCAGGTGGTGCCCTTGGGCCGTCTGTCTGAGGAACACCTGGGGATGAGAGGTGTGAGGGGCAGCGCCTTCCAACATGCCTAGGGAGCTTCCCCGGGAACCCTCTAGGCTGTCCACACTCAGCCACAGAAGCCGAGGCTCCAAGAAGGGCTCGGACGGGATGCAGCCTGGTCTGGAAGTTGACCCAGGGCTCCCCGACTCTCAGCCCAAGGTTCAGGCTTCCTTGAAAAGAGGGACAAACCAGGATCCCCAGAGGCTGAGAATTTTCACAGGAAATCTCTAACCCGGCTTCCTGCTTCAGGCCGTGATGCTTGGAAGCCCCACGGGGAGAGGAAACCCGGGAGGTGCCCACCCCTCCTCCTAGGTAGTGCCAGAGGGAGGGTCAGGACTCCAGAGGGCAGCAGGTGCCTTGGGCTCAGGCCCCACCGTGCGTCCCCACTTCCTGTGCAGCCAGTTTTTCAGCTGAGTGTCAAGGGCTCTAGAAAGAGCACCAGCTTTGGAGTCAGGCCGACCAGAACTGCGGACCTGGCTTGAGTCACACCCAGCGTCCCCATCTGTCACGAGGGATTTCCTGCCACGTGGCGCTGACAGGAGGGCTGGGGTCCTGTTGGTGGGGTGCCCAGCACCAGGCTGGGGGGCAGCGGGACTGGTAAATAGCATCCGCCACTCCCGATCCTAATAAAGATGGAGCTGCCTGCAAATGTGGGCCTTCGTCCTAGGGGGCTTTTGAGGCTGGGGAAGGGAAGATGGTGTTTACTGGCTGCCTGTGAGTGGTTCTGTGTTCGGTGTGACACACGTAATCTCATACAGTGCCCCGTAACCCTGCGTGGGGGTTATTGACGTCCCATCTTGCCGATAAGGGAAACCAGCCTGGCTCCTGAGCCCAAGCTCCGCCACTCCCAGCAGACTCTCTCATGGCCTGGCGCAGCGCCGCCGGAGCCCGCTGCCACTGGGCGGCCAGGCTCACGCCTGGGCAACTTCTGCTTCAGCCTCCTCATCTGTGAAATGGGAATATCTGTCCCGACTCCCAGAGCTGTCCTAGGAACAAGTGGGATCCAGGAAGTAACACCGCTTGGAGATCGGCCCTGGCCTGTGCCAGCATCAGGTGCAAAATCGGTGCCTGGGGACGCCCTCCCTCCCTGCTCTGCCCTGCGCTCTACAGAGAGCGAGTCAGGGCCAGCCCGGCACGCGGGCAGGAGGCAGGGCTGGGCTTCCTAGCACTGTTTTGCCTTCGGTCCCTTCGTCTCAGACCCTTTAGCGTCCGCAGGTCAGTGCCTACCCCTCTTCTCTCAGGCCTCCCCCACCTTCCCCACACCCTGTGCTGCCAGCCTGGGCGGGGGCTCCTTTCTCACTTGTCCCTTCTCTCTCAGTTCACAGTGGCCCTGACCTGAGTGCCCTCCCCCGGGCTCTGGACACCCTGGGGCACTGTGTCTGCTCCAAGGCTGGTGAATGACCACACCGTCCTGGGTGGTAAGCACCGGTCTGTGGAGCCGACGACAGACCCTGCAGTGGCAGCACGAGGGCGGGAGAGGGCAGTGGCGGTTTCCAGCCCGCGGGGAGCTCTATCTGGCATCCCAGTCGGGGCAGGGAGCTTGGGCCATCCAGTCTCCCAGCCCAGAGGACCAGCCTGTGTCTTACCAGGTGCCGCCTGCAGGCCGCACCCAGAGGGGGGAAGGGCGAGTGCATTCAGGGCCTCCCTGCGAGGCCACAGACGTAAATGCCTCAGAGGCCAGTCCCATAAAATAAACGAGCGAAGCAGACTGTGCTGCGGAGAGCTGGGGTGCCCGCCCTGTCGGCGAGGCAGTTGCCGTCCAGCCCCAGCGGACGGGGGCCACGCAGAAATGCTGGTCCCCGGGCACATCGTCAGGGCTGTGTCTGGCCCACGGGCCACCAGTGTGAGACCCAAACTCCACCTCCCAGCCAATACCTGGCTCCTTCTGACTGGGGCCAGACACCCTTGGCCTGGGTGTGTCCAAGGACAGAAAATTCAGAAAGCTCCCCTCGGACAGTGACGCCCCTGCCTCGTGCACAGCAGTGTTTGCCCCCCAAGGCTCTCACCAAGTCCAATCCCACTTCGACCTGGTGACCGGTCGCACATCCTCAGGCGGTTTTCCTGTCTCCCCCTCCGCCACCCTGAGCCTGCAACTTTCCAGGTTAAACGTCCCAATTTCTTCAGTGTTTTAGTCTTGTGTGGAGCACCCTCATTTCTCCTCTGCCCCCACCAG